TAACTGCCCGGACAGTAGGGGGTGTGGATTCGATCCCCACGAAGGTCATATTTTTCTTCGTTCTGCCACATAACAGGGCCAATCAATAGTAGTGCCAGATGGATGAAAAAAAGTTAATATCGATCTTAGATAAATTATTGTGCTACTTGTTGAAACAATTGATAATAGCATAAACAAGTTACTACCATAAATAAATAAATGCTACTGATGATATAAACATATAATGAAATAATACGATGAATGATGAATCACCAAAACAAAATGAATAATAAGTTCAATGGGCAAAAAACAAGAACTAATAGGAAATGCTGGTGATCAGAGCGTTCAGAGTCAATATGATAACGACTAAATAAATCAGCAAATAAGTATGATAATAACGAAGTAGATCATGAAATCAATATAATAACAATCAACTAATCTCTAATGACTATGACAATAAAAATATAAAGTTTAATATGAAGTAATGAATCAAAATAATTCCATGTTAATAGAAATACATAATATAATATCACGACATATGGTTAAAAAAAAGCAGTAATATAATGATCAGGGAAAATAACATAAACACCGGTAAGAATAATAAGTTGAGGATAACAAACCTAAGGACCAACTTTAAAGCTTGATAAGCCAAACAAATTAATTGAATACGATGAGGACTAGACAAAAAACAAGCGGACTAGAAGGGGAAAAAATCTTACTTTATATATATATGCCTGAATTACAACTTTTTGGTACGATTGGCATGAAAAACTAAAAGTGGACCTGAACAAATTCTGAGTAGTAAATATTATTATACTCTATATCTGTGATAAGTGGCAAAAGTTTCCCAACAGTTCGGTGAATATTAGGAGAAATATACGAATTTCTGCTTAATTCAATGATAAAATAAGCTTTATTCATTGCTTGAAGTATCTGGTTGATTTAAATTACACTTGAAAAGAATATTTTCGAACGAGTCCGACTAGAAATATGTGAGGAGAAAGCGTGACTCTACATTTTTCAATTCAATGTAAATTTCTCCTGAATGGTACAAAATCAAGAGATGAAATTTTCACCAGTTATATAATTTTTTCTTTTATATCTACTGCAAAAATTTGAGTCAAATCGAACGACCCAGCGAAAAGTTATAGAGCAGGTAATTTTCAAAATGTCACTCTACACAGAAACATACAAGTGTCTGTCAAACAATGCGGACGTTGAACAAGGAAATAACGTACGACTAAAATTTAAACCAATTACATATTTTGATAGAGCATCGAACGCTGTACAAAGTGGGCTATTCCCATTCTTTTTTTCTTGTTTGAATATAGCCAAAATATTTCCTTTTCTTTCGCCGGATCTCATGTAAAACTGAAACACAGACTAGACACGTCTAACTGCGGTTGGGTTGCAAAATGATGATTAAACGCGTTCAACCGCATTTTGAAAACGCGTGTTGCTGCAATTTAACTAACCCTCGCGTTTAAATACGTTTGAGAGGCAAACATTGCTCTGTTTCTGGAAACAATCAAACGCGTGTAAACGTATCCAAGCGGACACAAATGTCTAAAACGCGATTGAACGTATTTTATGATATAAACAAAACTAGTTTTTTTTTGTCGAATAAGTAGTAAAAATAGTAAGAATTTGAATATTCTTGGTGGTTTTATATGACATGTCGAAGATTTTTTTCTGAATTGATCTATTCTTTATGATTTAACTAGCTGAACAAGGTTAGTTGCGTATTAGTAAATGATCTTTTTCCAAGTATTTTTCACAAGATCATAAGCGGTCTTTGCAAGTAATATAACATAGTTTTCAGAATATCTGTATAATAATGATCTCGATAATACATTCTTCAAAAAGAAGAACTGTTTTTCCTATATCAGATCTGATCTTTTATGTTACAGAAGTTCTTAACTTTTCTAAGTTGTGATTTTTCTTGTAGAAGGAATTTCATGTATCTTAGAAATCAACAGAATTCTCATTTGCAAAAAAAATGATCCAGATACAAAATAAAATTATTTGTCTTAAAAAATTTAAAAATTACTTGTGTTTAATCAAAGTTAAATAATGAAAGAAGAAATTTATTATTAGAAAACAAATAGTGAGGACTTAAAATCTGTCTATCGAGATGTAATTAAGATTCACATTGATTTATGATTACTTTGTATTTTTCGCTTCTTAGAAAGAGATTTTTCTTGCTAATATATTTAACTTTGTTTTTCGAAATAAATAAGTTTATTTCAATTATATAAGAATCGAGATTTTATCCATTTGTATTTTTTAAATTAAACTTTATCTATTCTAAAGTAATATGAAGATAAATTATCAATCAATAACTAAATGTATTCTTTTTTTATACGTTTTATTGTATATGATTTAAGTTATTTTACATTGTCTTATCAAAACAGATACATGTGATATATTCATCAGCCAACGTGGTTCATTGGTTTAGGTATGTGAATTTATAGTCAAACGACTTCTGTCCTAGCCTCGCTCACTGCACAATCAAAACGTATTTATAAAAATAAAATACTTCTCCTGTTCATGTGCCTTTACGAAGAGCTGACCATCATGTGAGATTGATGGGGACACAGTACGAATCTGCGCGAATAGGACGATTTTTTTTCACAAAAAACAGATCCAAACGCGTTTATGAAACACGTCTAGACGCGACAGATGTTTCATTTTAGCTGCGTTCAAACGTGTTCCCCTTTTAGCGTTTCAAACGCGGCTTAAACGCGTTTTCATATGCGTTTAGAGACGAAAACTTTTCACATGGAATCAGCAAAAAAATGACATTTTTTTCGAATGCATCTTTTATAAGTCAGCGATCATATGAGCTAATGAGCTGAAATTTGGTATGGATGTAGGCCACTTAAAGTGGAGTAACATATAAAAAAATTGTCCGAATCGGCCAACGAAAACAAAAGCTGTTACGCAAATACAGCTAAAATCTCGATCGTACCAAAAAGTTGCAATGCACTCATATATCCATATATGATCACACAGATAAGTAGCCAATATAGAGAGAACGAAGAGATAAGAGAGGTAGTGGATAGCACATAGTGCCACTACCTAAGAAGAAGGTTGTAGCAAAGATACTCTTTTCAATAGAGAATGCCTTTTTTAAATGATATCTTTCGATCATTTCAACTGCTATCTATTTCTTAAGACCTAACTAGAGTAGTAAACGAAAGCGAAAGTTTTCGCTAGTAACATTCATTAGTCAGGAAAAAGGATTCTCTTGCGAAAGTGATGAATAATTTTTAGATGCAAAAAATCTGGACATTTCTACTATTTCTCAAATAAACAAGGAAAGGCAGACTAGAAGAACCTATAAATCCCAGCATAGGCAGTCCTAGCAGCAAGGTACATCATGGCTTATGTTCCAACTCTCTTGTTCATCTCGTTCGAAGCATAGTAGAGAAAATCAAGTGGTGATGAAGGGACGAGTAAATCATATTTTTGACCCACTATATATATATATATCTGTCCAAGTGCGCTCGAACTCAGTCATTCTGATACTGCGCCAAAATCAGATAGATATCCGAGTAGCTCATTCATTGACGATAATCTTCTCTTCTTCTCATAGAAACAAACAAGCAAGATATCTTCAGAGCAAATTTTCCAGCGTCCAATTTTTTACTCTTAAAATATTTTTTAATTCACTCAAACGAAAAGATAAAAAAAAGAAAAACTCGATGATATACTTTGTGAACAACTTCAGGAATTGTTCAGAAATTACACAAAAATAATCGTGCCCGCCTCCTTCATCCTATGATACTGCAATCGATCGATAACTTGTGATGCCACAACTACTTTAGACAGAACTTCTTAAATCACAATTGAAACTATTTCTTCGATGAACGTACGTAACGTACATTCAATTTTCCCGAACTCGGGTTAGGTTTGATGCGAACGGAAATCACTCAAGCATATGTTTTGAAATATATATAGTGCGTCAATAAGATTATTCGCCCACTTTAGTAAAAAAACACTTTTTCTAACTAATGAATGCCACTAGTGAAAGTTTTTGCATTCGTTGACTACTGCAGCTCTTAAGGGATAGAAATCAGTTGAAATGACCTAGAGAAGTCATTTAAAGAAGCCTTTCTGTATTGAAAAGGGTTTCATCATTAGAACCTCTCATATATCGATCGAAGGGAAAGCCATTTCCAAAGTTACGTTGGCTTCTCAATAAAAATCGAAATAAAAAGTGAAAAGAGTGATCAGTCCCAGAATAAATATGAGCTCTGAATGGCACATGAATATACTTCCGTATATAAAAACTGAAAAACAATGAAGTGACATGTTCTTATATAGCTGACTGTATTCCAAAAAAGTCGACTGTGAATTCAAATTTTGAAGCAATAAAGATGCGAATTTCGTATTGATATAGAGCACATTCGGTTATGCTCCTTAGCTACACTGAATGTGAAGAATGTATACGAGATAAAATAATATTGTCGATGAGTTTTAGCGCGTACCTTTGACTCGAAGCTTTTTTCATGTAAATGATTGCCTATAATAATTACTTTTCTAATCCATATAAAACTATTCAAATGCTTTCTGGTTTCGGTTCTTTGATGATACTGAGTGTAACTGAATGTACTCTATTTGAATATGGAATTCGTATCCATATTGCTTCTGAACTTGGTATTACAGTAGAGGCTTTTCGAACTCAACCTCATCAGAAAAACTAATCTGTTTCTTTGTTTTTCAATTTCTGTGAACCGAAATATGTTCACATGCCATTTATTCAGAGTTCATATTTATACTTCGAGTGATTACTCTTCTCAATTATAACTCTGATTTTTACTGGGATGTCAACTTAACTTTAGAAAAATTGCATGAATGAAAACAATAGCAAGGGAAAAAGAATAAAGTTTGTCGACAATATTTCCATTTGCGAAAATAAAACCGTAAATTTAAACATTCCGTTTTGAAAATGACATCGAAATCCATGTTTATCTCGATAATCGCATTCTTTACTAATAATCTTGAATGCAATATCTTCATAAGGTGGTTCAGCATGATATGTTAAAATTGAAAAATCTTTATTATCTCCACAAAAAGTAAGAATATAAGCTGATGTTGTTGTTTTATCAATCAATAAATCCAGGGTAGAAAATCGTAAATGTATATCCTTGAATGCTTGGTGGTGGATTATCTATATCATAATGTTTTTTTTATTATATTGAGTCCTACCAAGACCAGTATAAACTTTATTAAATACATGACATTGAGGTGGTCGATATTGACCAGAAAATAAATATTGAGTATCTGGGGGTGTAACAGTAATAATTAATGAATCATCAGGTGTTAAATTTTCCATAATTCCACAAGATACTTGAGAAACATCTTCAGCATTAACTTGAACAGAATCTGATTTAATAACAGATTCATCTTGCTGTCTGTTCTAATTTATCACAATCATTTGCTACATTTGTACATTGTGTTGGAATTTTCAGATCAAGATCATTAATAGTAACTAACAAAGGTGAATCAGAACCTTGTTCATGTTCAATTAAACATTTATTACTTAAATCTTCGGATGAGTTAATTTGATTATCAGTAATTAAATCTAATTGATCATTTTCACGATCTTTTTTCCTTGTGTGGTATTGTTAAAGTTGCAAAGCTTTAACAATTTCGATCTCGAATGTGGACCAATTAACAATATTAGATTTGTTAAATCTAAGCCACATGGCAGCAGTTTTTGTTAAAAAACATTGCACGGCTATATATTTATTTGCTGGTTGTAGTTGCATTCGATCAAATATGTCTTCACTATCTTGCCACCATTGAATGACATCTTCATCATAAGCACTACCAAATATAAACAATAGGGCCTGTTAGCGTCAGTGATGGATCACACTAACGCTTAACGAAGATTAATATGTGCCTTCTAGTCTAACTGGCTTAGGGTAACTGCCCGGACAGTAGGAGGTGTGGATTCGATCCCCACGAAGGTCATATTTTTCTTCGTTCTACCACATAACAGGGCCAATCAATAGTAGTGCCAGATGGATGAAAAAAGTCAATATCGATCTTAGATAAATGTTTAGTTGAACATGAAC